AAATCTATCTATTCAAAGCAAAACATTTGGGCTAATCTAAAAAATCTATTCAAAGCAAAACATTTGGGCTAATGCAAGAAAACTCCAAATACTTCAGTTTGGGTCTAATGTCCTTTCCCTACCCCGCCTAGACACAAGGTATTCCCAACAGAAAGTCGATTTTCACCCAGAAGATTTCAGTTTTGTAGAAGTAGTGTTTTCCATCAGAAAATCATTCCAACGGAAAGTTACTAACTGGTTCTAATACAAAGTGACTAGCGAAGATCTCAGAATGATTCAGTGGTAAAGCTGGAATGAGAACCCACAGCTCCTGACCACGAACCCTGTGCTCTAACCACGAGACAACACTCATCTTTCCCTGAGCAAGGTTGTTCCTGCAGTATTTCTGCCTGGGCCAAAGTGAGAAAACTCTGGAAATGTTGCAAGAGAGCTTTTTGCTACAAGATTTCCTGCTGTAGAGTATTTGAGGGATAACAGGAAAAATCCCTGGTGGCTCCCTGAGGCCTCTTCAGAAGTGTTCGGACATCATGGGAATGTGAGGGTTTCCATCCGTTCCTCCCTATGTGGGTTGTGGAGGGACGTGGTGGGGTCTGGTCCTACCCGCCATTGGAGTGTGCAGCCACTGCTGGCCTGTCTCTTTGTTTTCAAGGGATGCATTTGAGGGGATCCTACTGCCGTGTCTTCCATTTTAAGCAAACCTTAAATAAACTAAAGTTTTATTCCTCACATCAGGAATTTTCCAACTTTTCAGGTAAAACTCTCAAACGGGGTAACCCCGTGCAGAAAATCTAACTCATGGCTTGCAGTCCTATTTTATTTATTTAAAAAGCGATTATATATTTATGGGTCAAGGTGGGGGATGTCCTCAGTCCAGACATACCCTTCTGCTTGTTTCTCTGTATTTATTCTTCTGGCTCTCGATATGGCTTCTTGCACCACTTAAATGCTAAATGCTTCTGCAACCCCCAATATTTCTGCAGTCTTGTAGGGCAACAGGGCTGTGGCTGAGAAATACAATTTACCAACAACCCCTTCAATAAAAAGAGCCAAACCCCCTCCTTGTTTCTGTTTTATTAGCTTTTAAATAAAGGAGAAATACGATTCCCTTTCCGAGGCAAAAATACTCATATCGGTTGAATTCCTGACAGGGCACAGTGCACGCTCAGCTTTCCAGGGCAGTGCAGCTTGACAGCTATGCCTAACACACAGCAGATCCCTTTAACGACGCTCGGGGCGAGCTCCACACGCGGGCCCCCAATCAGGAAATTGTCAGGAAAAGCGTGGTTTCTGTAGCCCGCTCCCTGCGCAGCGCAAGGGGCGCGGGGGGAGCGCGGCGGGCTTCCCGGCAGCGGCCGGCGGTCAGGAGTCAGGACTGTCAGGAAAAGCGTGGCTTCCCGGCAGCGGCCGGCGGTCAGGAAATTGCCCTGTCAGGAAAAGCGTGGTTTCTGTAGCCCGCTCCCTGCGCAGCTAATATAGTGTTTCAGTTTGGACAAGTAAGTGACTGACGCTCGCCGAGCCCCGGTGGCGACTAGCCGCAGCGCGGCGGGCTTCCCGGCAGCGGCCGGCGGTCAGGAAATTGCCCTGTCAGGAAAAGCGTGGTTTCTGTAGCCCGCAGCCCGCTCCGCTAATATAGTGTTTCAGTTTGGACAAGTAAGTGACTGACGACTGACGCGCGGGCAGCCGGCCCTGCTAGGCCCCGGCGTGCGCCCAGCCCAGCCTCCTCTCCGGAGCTCCGCGCTGAAAGCGGAACGCGGTGACGTTCAGAAAACTCCTTCCCTGTTCGTGAGGTGCTGCTGGTTGAGAAACCCTATCGCGTTTGCAGTGATGTTTTTTAATTAAAAAAACTGTGATGCCCGTGTGTAACACCCGTCTCCGGCTTTTTCCCCGGGGAATCCCTCTCGCTGCACCCTCGGGCTGCATGCAGCTTGTCCAGGGCGTGCATTGGCTGGGGGGTTGAAAAAAACCGCAAACGTGTTTGA